GTGTTTTTCATTAAGTCAATTAGGTTGATTACGTCAAGGAATATGATAACACCTGATCAACGCTAGGAGACCAATCACTATTTTGTATTATCATATTTATATTCATCACGATTTGTCGATCATATTCTATATTTAGCTGTGTTCGTATTTGAAAGAGGTAAGTTACAGTCGATGGCTATTTTGTATTTCAGACCGAATAAGAAAACAAAAATTGATCCAACCTGGCAGGTTCCTTTGACTCAGACAGAAGCGAYCACCATGGYAGGTGTGAAGCATGGRGCCGTGGATAGATTTCAATCACGTTGTTGTGTTAAGGGAGCGCGGTCAATTTTTTCCATATGTCTTGATTTTAGATATACTACTATACGGAATTCAGGGCTATAGTGCTGAAAGGATACCATGAGCTACAGCCATCTTTGTTTGCTTTTGATGTTGATACCCGACTTAACAGGTAAAAAATGCTCTCAGACAGAAGGAATGAAAATAAAAAAAATGAGTTGAAATGAGCTGCCAAGTTTTATTCTAAGACCACAATTCATAGCTATTTTTAAGGCACAAAAAATCTTGTGTAACATCTTTTGTGTAAGATCGCCCATGGTGGCACAATTCAATATTGCAGGTTGATCGAACGACGACCTTGAAGATTACGTAGACCATGTTTTAATATATAAATAGAATTGCGTGAAAGAACAAGCCTTCAAGACATATGCGCAGTCAAAAATGATAACTCAATTCATAAAAAAACGATTATTGATTGTTGGGCGAAAATTAATGTTGCTCATTCAATTAACCAAACAATTCTCCCCTCAGCCAGGGACTTAGAATGTACGATAGGAATACACAAATTGAAACATTTTTCTAAAGGATCTATGAACTATCGTCGTAAAGAATCATGATCGATTCGGCTCAATTCAAAGATCTAACGAATACCTCTTCAAACACAGGTGCAGACGTAACATTGCATTTTGTTGGTGATGTAAGTTTTGACACCGCTGTACACTATTACCACAAGCATGGTCATTGCTCCTATAACAATAGCTTTGTAAATGTAGCCGCTCTGTTAAAGCAGTCAGATCTTGTAATAGGAAATCTCGAAAACCCTTTTGTACGCTACGATCTGCGTAAAGATGCTCTGGTAGGGCCATTTACTACTTTATTGAGTGCTGAACCTGATAGCGTGGAAGCTTTGACGTAAGTACTCTCCACATACCTGTTTTTATCATATAATTGCGAAATAACTATATTTCTTTCTTTCGGAAAAGTTTCAAATAACACATTCGAGTATAAAAAGGAATTTTACAACATGATTTTCTTTCATATATAATTATATGAGAAACAGAATATTACATGGTCGCCCGGAGATTAAAAAAAATTCTTCTTGTGTTAAAAATCTCTTCAACACTCGCTCATAAAATCCGTATCTTCGCGTGTACATGTAGTATCCTCTATATATATGGTACGCTACAACAACCACAAGTCCTCTTTTCGCCACCGGCGACTCATGAACGCAACAGAACTTAGCAAGTACTTGTGGTCACTCAAGGACAACAACATTCCTTACAAAATCGCGTGGCGCATATTAATAGCCCGTGCCAAACCTTACTCAAGCTCCAACAAGAGATTTAATTAATTTATGTTTAACTGAGAAGTTTATAATCATTTGTAAACCACACTTATGCTCACTGAACAAAAGAAACGAGTTAGTTTCCGCGTGCAGATACAAGCACAAGTCTTTACAATGCGGCAGAGTATAAATATTGTATAAACTTATTTGCTATTAGGTCATTTAACTCCTGAAGATTGAGGCTTCGCCTCATGAAACAGGCCCGTAGAAGTTCTGTCTAAAGAATATTCACACAACCCATATAAGGTACTGTTGCAGTATCACTATTAGATCAGCTTTTTAGAGATGTCAGAGTGATTGTCGAGCCCTTTTAACTGCCTTATACAAATATGATATGCCCATGACTAGGACAATAACTTCGGCTCTTTGAACACTCGAGTGGTCTCTTTTCGCTATTTGTCTATTTTTTGACATACGCAATAAAATGCACTGATTTAATCATCATTTTAAGGATAACAGATGTATCAGCTTATGTAAAGCATTCGAACTCAGTTAATTAATTAAACTAGCTTGTCTTAGATTGTTGTTGAAAATGGGCATAGAAAAACTACATAGCATATTCGGCGTTTTTTTTTTCTGTAAAAAAAAGCATGCGTCAAGACAGCAATGTGCGCGTTTCTGYAATAACTTGATCTAAGCCCTTTCCTTTATTCCGCCCACATTCTGGMTTCTTGAAATCAAGACTCTTTCTTTGAGGCGAATTTCAAGAATAAGGAACTCAGCGCTATATATCTTGGCTTTATTTTGATGTGTATGAACACCGTTTCACTAACTGTCTATCAGGTTTGCTGGTTTTAACTTGATGTCTTTAGCAAACAACCACCTGGATGACTACAAAACAAAGCCAATCAACCATACAGTAGAGCTGCTGCTGGAACAAGGTATTCTGCCCTTTGGTTATAACTTGGGAACTCTTTGTAACGAAGAACCACAAGTAAGTATAGCAAAACTATATGAGTTTGACCTGAAGCCTTTTCTTCCAACTGTTTTTCCCAGTCCATTACTTTTTCAAGAAAATTKTACATTGCATAAACATGCTCYAGCAATTCCACCACCTTCTTTACGATCGTAAGTACACAGACGCTTCTATTGAGACAATAGACTGAAATGATAATGGAAAGTTAACAAATTGCGCACGGTTTTGAGCTGTATGTCCAATTATTGACACACTCTTGAAGTCATACAATGTTCAAAACCCAAGTGGACTGCAGAGTTTTGAGCATTTTATGACGTCAAGAGTGTGTCAATAAGAGGGCATACAACGAAAAACCGTGTGCAATTTGTTTCTCCACCTCACCTCCCCACCTCGCCTCTTCGCCGCCGCTTCCAATCATTTCTGTCACTAGCAAGGACCCGTACCTTGTCCCACGACCCCCAACCAGCTTTATCAATAAAACAAATATCATTGTCTGGAGACACCATCTCCTTTTAAATCGTCCGTCGCCATGTTGTTTTAGGCCTTCSAACTGGGTAGCCTCTTCGTCCTGCCCAYAACTTACTTGAATAGCGTGTTTATAGTTTCAGTAATGTGACTTCTTTAGAGGGATGGGTCATTGGCCCATCTCCCAACCCCCAACCTGGAGGTCCAGGTGTTGCAATTCGTCTGGGCTTTCACTTAGAACCTGYCCAGCAAGGTTGAAGCTACCGAGAGCTATAGCCCCCGATGATATAGCCACCAGGATCCACACAACACATATGAAATAATTGTTTGTTTTTTTTTGCCACATTTTTATTCTAAAAATAGCGAAAATCATTCTTTTCTTTCAATTGAGCGCGCACGCGACTTCATGTTGTAAGCACAGTGTACATGTTCTCTTAGACTACATTCACACGTGGCCGGTCAAGTTTGAGTACACCTCGGTTTTATAGGACAGTTTCCACTSTTCAATCGGAACCGTCTACATTTCGGTACGGATTAAAGCAGCTTTCACACGGATCCGTTCATGCTTCGAAGTGACYTGTCCTCAAAGTGGAGTGGCTTTTTAGCCGGCCCCAAACCTGAACACTTTGCCAGCCTCAGATGAGGCCAGTTCCAGTGTGAACGTGCGCCTAAACTAGAACGGTTCCGAACGGAACCGGGCCAGTGTGAACGTAGCCTTATTGATACCAGCGTGCGAGAATTAAACTATAGTGATTGCGACAGGACACATTGTAGTGGGCCCTGGCTTAGACAATGTCTTCATCTTTCATCTCCGATTCATACGTTATCAAGATGTCGTACTATTTGCCAGACTCCAGTAACAGCCGAGGTGTATGGTATCAAGATTGGCTTTCTTGGATACTGCTCTACATATCGCTCTGAACTGGACTCCGAAGGCCACATTTTCTTCCATTGTATCGAGAAACGAAGAGGTCTGGACGTTGGGCCTGCTATTTACACAGATGAAGTTGCAACAAGAGATGTCAACAACCTTAAGGTGTGGATCTGTATTTAGTAGAGTGTGGAGTGGTATGAGTGTGCAAAGATACAACTCAAGATACGGTCGAGACAGGTCACGGAACCTGGACTATGATAGTGACGCCAAATGAAAGTTCTTATTCAAAATGGTGGAAACTAGCGTTTAACTAGTGTGAGCTGCGCTGGTGTTTCTTTTACAKTTGTGTTAAGAGATAAATTTTAGCACCGAAAAAAGTAGGTGAAACTACTAATATTTCGGACAAAGTGTTAGCCCAGTTTCATTTCTTTAGCCAGATGAAGGATTAACGTCCGAGACGTCAGTGATAGGTTGTTTTACCTACTTTTTCAYGGWGTTAAAATTAAAATTAAAATGTTTTTGCACAGTCAAACTCAATTCATTATAATGTAAAAAGTAAACGTCTAAATACGATATATTCGTTAGGCCAAGGTGGATGTCATAGTCGTCTACATGCACTGGGGAACCATGTTCTTTCCCACACCTTCAGCACGACAACAATGTCAAGCAGCACATCTGCAATCTCTTGGTGTCCATATTGTGATTGGAAGCCATCCCCATGTACTACAAGGACACACCCTTAAAGAGGACWCCCTCGTTGCATACAGTTTGGGAAATTTCTTATTTGGACCTAAAGGAAGAAATTTGGTAATGATGGATTAAATTGACGGAATGTTAATAGAGTTTAAGATTGAATAACAATTTTAATTGTTAAAACTCACCAATTTGATGATCTAACAATATTTCGCTGGTCGCATACCAACTAGCTCACACGTATCTACTCATCTTCTAGGAATACATTTCTTAATAAAACTTTGGTTTTTAAACAAGTCTCATGTACTGTGGGCCTTTTGTAAGAAGCATGAATAACCCTATCGTATCCACCCGATAAATCTTTACCTGCAGATCATAAGGAGGGACAACCTTATTATACGGTGAACTACTTTTCATGAAACCATGCCCGGATTTATGCTTTTACTGTTGGACGTTACATTACAGATGACACTCTCTATGTATGTGACGATATTCACTCTCCTTTATTTGTTTGTTAAGTAATGTTTACAACATGAGCGGCCGTGTTGTATGGGATTTTACAATCACGAGCCGAAGGCGAGAGATTGTAAAGACCATACAACACGGCCGCTCATGTTGTAAATTACTTGTGAAACGTTTAGGTGTATACATTCATAATCTACTAAAAACTTTAAGTAAAGATAAAATTGAATTTGAGAAAATTGGATTTGAACTTTATGCAAATCAAGACAGTTTTGTATCAAATATTACAACACTTTTCACGATTGTGACTACTGTGTTTTCCTCATTAATTATTCATGAGTTTTACAAATTCTCGGCTTACTGAGCTATTTCTTTATTTCTAGCCATTTTACTATAACGGAAATCCCCCCATGGAAGTTGTTCGTGAGTTTGAAAACTACATGTCGACCGAAGGAATGAGTGACAATTCATTAGAGTCACGTATTCTTCGTGTGGAAATTAACAAGTAAGTTTGCAGTAAAGTTATAAGTTGGAAAAAGCTTGTCTTATTCTATAGTAAATTTTATATAATCAAGTGAGTACGTGAAAGCATGAGCCTCCCCCCTAGACTCTTTATTCTATTCATTGGGKTTTTCAAAAGGCGAACTGTTTGAGCGCTGTTCGCCCGGGGGCATGTCAAATGCCGTGTGACATTAAAAGTTTGGAGAAGAGTAGCCTCGCAGGGCCAGATCCAGGATTTTTCAGAGGGGGTTCCCTAACATTGAAATTTAATATTAAAGTACGTTACAATTATTTTGACTCTTTAGGCTCATGTGAAATTATCGTTTATCGTTATCTCGGGCACACCTATAATATGTTGGACTTTTCAACAAACTTTAATATGAATTATG